ATATATACCTGTATATGTTCCATCCTCAATATCTCTAAAACCACAGCAGCTGTTTTAATATTTACACTTCTGATGAAATCTCCTGTTAGCTTTATTTTGATACTAATATTATTTAAGTAGAGTTTGTAAATGCTGAAATAAGAAAACCTCTTGGGCCTTAAGAGGTTAAAAGAAACTGTGATGCAGTAAAACTCACTGTAGCAGGTAGGAGTCGCCAGGCTGATCCCTTTGTGCCTGAAGTTTCCTGCTTGTATCTGCTCCTGCAGCCACTCTGCCTGATGCTCCTGAGGCGACAGGCATCTCTGCCAGCAGAACCACACGTCACAAATGATGACACAGAATCAGGAGAACGTTTCGTGAAGAAGTAAAGCTCACAGGTGCCAACCTTTTGGTGCTAACGCCACAGAAAATCAAGCTTGTCTTGCAGCTTTTCACACACAAGCTTGGAGCTGCTTTGCAGTGTGAGGCGAGCTGGTGGAGGTGTTTGTTGTTGCTTCCATGGTAACAGGACTCTCAAAGGAAAACAGCTGGGACTTTAATTTGATTCATTTAGCTTTAACAAAGAAGAAGTTAAGAAAATCAGCTTTGTTTCGAGGAACGCACCGTTCAGATTAACCAACATTCATTTTTATTTTAAGCTATGTGTATAAATTCAACTCAAATTATAAAATCAAACAAACGTTTTCTTTTTAATGTTTGCATATTTTTTTCTCCCAGAATAACCACACACTAAGCCATATTGCGTTTTTCTTTTGCTTTTCTCCAAACACTTCAACATATTATGATAATTTGCGAAAGATGTTCTGTATAAATGCTGACTTGGATTTTTTTAATTTATTTATTTATTTTCATTTAACTTGGCTCACAATGACTTGGCGCGGCTAAAGATCTGCAGATGGGCCACAAAATGAAGCGTAGCTTTTGAAATACATGGAAAATATTTATTTTCATGCTGTTGTCTATTGCACACTGCATTGCCAAAAGTATTTGCTCGCCTGCCTTGACTCATAAATGAACTGAAGTGGCATCCCACTCCTAATCCATGGGGCTCAATATAACATTGGTCCATCCTTTGCAGCAGCTTCAACTCTTCTGGGAAGGCTGTCCTTGGGGTTTAGGAGTGTTTTGGGAGATTTTTGATTCTTCCAGAAGCACATTTGTGAGGTCACATGCTGATGTTGGACAGAAGGCCTGGCTCTCAGTCTCCGCTTGAATTCATCCCAAAGGTTTTCTATCAGGTTTAGGTCAGGACTCTGTGCAGGCCAGTCAGGTTCATCCACACCAGACTGCCATCCATGTCTTTATGGTCCTTTGTGCACTGGTGCACATTAATTTGGATGGGTGAGCAAACAGTTTTGGCAACATAGTGCACTTTTGTGCCAAGAGGGAGMAAAACGTTTTGCCTGTGCCGTAAGGGGATGGATGACATGAAGCTGAGAACAAAATAATGCATGCAGCTACACTATATTGCTAAAAGTTTTAGCCAGAGATGTAAAGTAACTAAGTACAAAAACTTTGTTACTGTACTTACCGGTAAGTAGAATTTTTGGGTATCTATACTTTACTTGAGTAATTATTTTTCAGCCTACTTTTTACTTCTGCTTCTTACATTTTCACACAATTATCTGAACTTTCTACTCACTGTATATTTTAAAAAGGCAAGAAGTAGAAAGTTGTTACTTTTATTTCATATTTGCTTGTTTTCATTCCAGTTTGTTATTATAAAAAATAAATACTATCCATGTAAATTGTGCCACATAGATAGATTGAATTTAATTCTAATTTTTTTATTTTTTTTATGTTATTTAGTATTGTTTTGTAAATTATGTTTTGTTTGAATATATTCTGGGTTGCAA